CCCCTTAAGCGGCCCATACACGATCAATTATAAATGTGCAATTTAATTGTCAATACTCGGATTTGACAATTATATTGACCGTGTATTGGAGATATTGACGACTTGCGCAATTGTATTGGGTCAAGCAAAACCAGTTGGATATTTTATTGCGCAAGTCTACCTACTTACACAATTGAATTGACCGTGTGTGGCATTCGTCAATCAAACTGTGCAATAATCATTTTTCTTCCAGATTCCATACCGTCCTCATGTCTGAGGTGTCTGATAAATAAGAAGACAGGGCATTTCAATTGGAGTGTATCAAGGTTTATAAAAGTTTACCAGTCATTTGGAAAGTGAGGTGTGACGATTACAGACACAGACTAAAGAAAGATGCAACTTACGGTCGTGTATTGATTGAAAAATTCCAGGAAAAAATACTAAAACTATACAAGAGAAGATGTGGAAAAAATATCAAGACCTACTGAACAAATTATCGCAAGGAACTAAAGAAAGTGCTTGACCCAGGGACGGACCAGGTTTATGAACCCATTTCGTGGTATTTTTATACCCGTTTCCTTTTTGGGAAATCATCTTCGTTTTCTGTGGCAAGAGCAACTTTTACTGCCTCAGCGATTGCTGGGTCGAAATCTCCCATCCTGTCTCAGCGGGTTGCAAGACCAAAATGAGCCTGGTTTGCGCAAGTAAATTGTCAGTTATAATATTGAGCTGTGTGTGGGCAAAATAAAAACTGTCAATTATATGTGCAACCAGGATTGCACAATATAATTGATCACGTATAGGCCGCTTTAGCTTTGTATGTCGACGAGGTAGATCTAGATATTAGAAGACCAAAGTTTACCTGAGGGGAAGAGATGAATTTAGCGTGGGGTTGTTGTTGTTGTTGTTGTTGTTGTTTTTGGGGTGGGGGATTTATCCTGGTCAGGTGAACCCTGAAAATAGACAATTATGACCTTGAATATGATCATAATAATAGTCGCAGTAGTTAAAAGGTCAAGCAGCTGCATAACAAGAAAAGTGTTAGATTGGAACCCACAGGGTAAAAGATCAAGGGGGAGACCTCGTGGAACCTGGAGAAGAGTCACGGAAATGGATGTACAGAAAAGTGGGAAGACGTGGAGTGACATCAAGCGACTATCCCAGAATAGGGAAAGGTGGAGAGTGTTTGTTCGTGGCCTATATCCTGCCCCAGGGTGAGAAAGGTAATGATGATGATGATGATGATGAGTAGGCCTAATAGCAGCAGTTGTTGCTATTGTCGTAGTCGTCATCATCGTCGTAGTTATTGTCGTAATCTTAGTCTTAGCCGTCAACGTCGTCGTCGTCGTCGTCGTCGTCGTCAACGACAAGTTGTCCCCTTGGACAGCATCATAATAATAATATATTATAATATAGTAAAAGCGCAAAGGGAGTGGGGAGGAGTGGTTGTTTGTACAGCTGGCAATATCTTGAACAGGTGGTCGTTAGAACAGGTTCGACAGCATACATCAATACTGTGCTAACATTACTGTTTAGTTTCTTCTCTTCCTCCAGATCTACTACTACGGCTACTGGTACCACATCTGTGGAGGCGCGCTGATCCAGAGCCATAAGGTGGCCGTGGCTGCTCACTGCATGTGGCGCTGGGGGTACTGCACCGCACTGCACTATGGGTGCACGGTACTTTAACTTATCGAGGACTGGGAATCTGATGACATCCTGTTTTTTTGTGGGCACTTAAAACAAATAAGAAAAAAGCACAACTTCGCTTTTCTGGCTGAACATTTCAATTATTGCTTTCTTCATTGTTTTCTTTTTTTAATCTTTAAAAGGCAATAAGCAACATATACATGGACTATGAAATATGCAAATCTGTGTTTCTCATGTGTATGGATTCAAGGAACTTGAGCTCATTGAAGACTCACAATCTAGTCATTCAACAAGGCTTGGAGTCGCCTTGTTTTGTGGGCTCTTAAAAAAGAAAAAGGAGAAAGCATATTAACTTCGCTATTCTTTGTGATAATAGGCTAATAATATTTCAATTGGGTTTTTTTCTGAAACTTTTAAAGGCAATCAAAAACACTTATCTTGACAAAATTTGTGTATGGTGGTTTGAAATGTGCCGAAACATTTCCTTGGTCTACAGCTGATCGGACATTCATTATGTGTCTGCTAAGTCTTGAAAGCGTTAATAAGGGTAGGCATAATATAATATTACTATGTCAGGAGCCCTCCAGATTTTGCAGTTTCTGTGTAATGATGGCATGAATCATTCTCGTCGTCCCTTTCAAACATAGTGTCAGAATGGCAGTATAACAAGAACATCTTCTGAAAGTAATTAGAGGTTCACTGTTGCATTATTTTATAAAACAACGCAGTTGTGCTAAAACATAAAGAGGCGAAGGGCGTTTTATGCAAGTCTAGACTATTGCTTGGTTGGGATGCTGCTGCTGCTGCTGCTGCT